GGTTGGTGTGTGAATGTCAACACATTCCTTATGACAGGACTCCAAGCCAAATAAAATGAGATCAAGAAATAATGAAATAAATTCAGAAGAAGCTCATATAAAAGTGGAAAAATGGTCCAAACTGTCGCATTGGTTTATCTTTGTACTCATGACACAAATTACAAAGAAAAAGAAAAAAAAGAGAGTGTGATGTGATCTAAACTTCTGGCGCCTGGGCTGTGAAAAACAGAGCCGGGAACAGTATTGATCTCAGTCAGAATTATAGATCACCGTGTCTGAATGAGTGATGAAGCTGTTGCACTGTTCGTCTCTCCTGACAAGCAGCCGCATTAAAAACCCTGATCCCTGAATTTCAATGGAGCAGTAACATTATGTTTAAGAATCGCTGTCCGTCACAGTAAACATGCAGGAAAAAGGTATTTCACTGGAGAATGACCATCATGCAATTATTGTTATTATATTAATTATGTCTGACAGTAAAAGTTAGAAACCTATAGAGTCCCTTCAGTGAGGAATGGGATGAACTGACATAATATAATCTCTATGAAAAGAAAAAAGCGATTTTTACATTTCCACTGATTCATTCTCCTGGTTCACCTCAGAATGACTCAGGATCAGATTTTTGTTTCTGGCATGTGAAATGAAATTCTCTGTCTCAGGTATAAAAGCAGAACTAATCACAGTGTGACAAACTCATCGCAGGTACTTTCTGATTGTGTCTCTCGACCATTGTGAGCCTCTGAAACGCCTGTTTGCTCATCTACTCATCACATCCTCAGCAGTTTACACACTGAGCCTCAGCTAATATTGATGCTCTCCATGTGAAACTGCTGATGAGAAACGCTTCTCTGTGTTTTTTTGTTTTAGTTGCATCTGCTCAGGCGCTGGGAGAGACCACTGAGGGGCAGCAGAATTACACGCCAGCGCTTCTTGTTTGTTTCCCCTAAATGTATCTTAGTGCTCAGACTCTATTAATCCTGCTGTCTTATGAGGGACCTCGAGGGATGCTGAGTGTGTGTGTGTGTGTGTGTGTGTGTGTCCATTCGTGCGTGCGTGAGAGAGAGAGTGTGTGTGTGGTTGAGTAAAAATGTGGAATGAAAAACTCTGTTTAAACCAAACTAACAAAATACTCACAGCAGAGCTGTCCTGTTATGGGATAAGAGTAGAGAAAGTTAATGTGATGCTGCCAAGTTGAGACAAATGAAATAATATTATAAAGAAATAAAAATACAGCAAAACACTGAAAACAAGTAATATAACAATTCAGTTTATTTTATTTATTTTTCCAGACAGACACATCAATTTCTGGACCACAGTAGAGGATGGAAACCTTTCACAGACATTTTTTTGTCAATATTATTATTTGAAAATACAAATATAAAATTAGACTTTCCACATTTGATATGTGAGAGACCCCCATCCATTATTATTATTGTTATTATTATCATCATTTTTTTTTTTAGTATACTTTACAACAGGGCTTAAGCAAGCCATTATGATAACCTGAAAGATGCTTTCAGATGTCAGTCAAGTCTGTCTGTCTCTCGCCATAAAAAGTCGGTGAACATAAAAAAACAGGGGCAAGTGTTAGGAATGGGCAGACAGCAGTGAAGAGAGCTCTGTGCTCAGCCTGCAGAAACATGGAAGCACAGCAGAGCCTCACACTGCCGTCCATGCAGTCTGACGAGCGTCCAGGCTCCCTCTAGGCCGCGCAGTCTGCGCCAAACTCCATGTCACGCCAGGGGTGGACTCTCGTGTTGTGGAGCGAGCTAATATAATGATGATTGGGCGATTATGAGCCTGGGTGTATCTGCAGTGTGAGGGTATACAGCTGAGGTCTCCAGTCTAATTCTGATCAAATGAGCGCAGAAATTGCAAATATATATTCATCTATACACATATATATATATTGCAAGTGTATGTGTAGACTGTAATCAGTGATGGGCATGAGTGAGATGGCAATGATTTGGACTGAGAGAAGAAATTCACCCTAAAACACGACGACACAGTTGAACTTGTGTTATTTCTGTCACCTTGAAGGGTTCAGTGTGAACATGAACACTCCTCTGTTCTATCAGAGCCCACACTATACATGGTGTTGTTGGTCGAGAGTCACTTTGCGGACGGGGACACTAACTTTGTGGTCACCCTGACAGTATCCAGTATCTCTCAGAGATAAGGGCACATTGGTTTGAAAACCATTAGCACCACTATGAAAGAGCCTCTTTTTCCCCCTCGGGTATAAATACTCAGTAACATTCAATGGGCCGTCAAAGTCTGATTCATTAGAGACGGAGTCGAGTCTCTAACAGTCCTCGTCTGACGTCCCAGCGTTTAGGGAGACAGTTGTTCATATTCATAATGAAAGACAGATGTGAGTCCAAGATGACAGAAATGTCAGAAGTGTGTGTGTGTGTTTGTGTGTGTGGTTTCAGGGTGGGATTCCCCCCCCTTCCACACACACACAAAGGATGATGGGATAAATTGTTTGGCCATTGCCTAGCACTTGCCTCGAGATTCAAGTTTAAATGGATACGGTAGTACACTACAAATGTCAACACCTTCCAGGTTGACTCTTTTTCTTTTTTGATTATTATTTTCTTTTTTTTCTTAAACCACGACCCTCCCCTCTCCCCAAATGGATACGCTAGTCTACTAAGATGTGTAACATTCATCAGCTGTAAACTGCTGTCAGTTTGAGATTAAAAGGAAAATTACAGCAAGAGAGCCATGCTACCTTAAAGTCCAAGCTACAGGATCACAAAACAACACAAGAGGGGAAAAAAAAATCTGCCAATTCAAGTGTTCTTTTCTTTTCCAGTCAAAGATTGCAGTCCAATTACAGCCACTGTGTGCTGCTACAGAGAAAACACTCAGAGAAACATGGCTTTTACTTTTGCTCCGGTTTTTGGTTTTCAGATGAAACGGCTCCTAATGAACTTATTGCACTGGTTTGAATTTAAAATTTAAAAAAACAATGGAGGAACACTTTTACCACTATTATACTGTCAGGAGAAACCTTTACCAGTTCTCATGTGAAACAAAA